TGTGTGTGTGTGTGTGTGTGTGTGTGTGTGTGTGTGTGTGTGTGTGTGTTCGTGTGTAAGAGGTAATAAATAGCGGAGTAGAGTGTACTTAAAAGCATTATAGGTAGATAAGCAATTTAGGTAAAGTAGTTTATTCATAACTAATTCATACTAGTGTAACTAGAAGTTCTTCCGTATTCTCATAGGATAACTTCTGTAACCATATTACACATAGGAAATGAAATTATTTTTCCGGAACTAAATCGCGTATGTTTGTTTTTTCAAACAAACCGTTACCGGTCACGGTTGACTGAAGTGGTACAGTCTTCAACCAAGTATGTCTAATATTGATGCGAACCAACCCATTTTTTCACAATAGTTATTAATTAAATACCTTATTTTTAATTTTACAAAGACAACAATCCAATTTACGCTACATTAAGTTTTATATCCAACGTCATACTTGTTTAATGCGTATATGTGTAGAGATTTATTAATTTTATTATATAATCTAGTACTTAGTGCTGTTAATGTCCGTTAGCAAATGCAGTACGTCATCGTTTAGTATCACAGACAGGGCAACCTCGTCATCTGCTAAGAGCGATTGGATCTAGGGGTGGATTTGAATGACGATTCGAGACCTATTTTAGTATAAATAACTGCCTCATTTCGCGTTCCAGCCTTGAAAGATAAGGTTTCTGTTGAAATTACAGGCACATGGGACTTGTCAACTTATGTCTCAGGGTGACAGGCGCAATGGTAGTGCTTTAGGTTCGCTCACCGCCAAGCGCTCGTCTTGGTCGTCCAATTATTTGGTGTCTCAAAAACAAACAAAAAAAAATACTTACCATTTTGTATTGTTTAATAACAGCTTTGTGTTGAATACCCAATTATTTTCTGGCCACAGTTCTTCACTGTATTTTTACCAATTCGTAATATTGATTACCTCAGCTATTCAGTAAAGAGACAAAGGTTTTCTCTTTGTTATATCGTAAATATAATTAAAATATAATGACAGTTTTGTGTAAATATAAAACAATAATGTGTTTTTGATATAAATAAACTGGACAACTGTCTGTTATTTCATTCCATTACGCAAATTGGATCTTATCACACAATTGTTAATCATTGGTTCTATAAATTAAACTCACAAAATATTATTCAACCAGTAAACTTTTTAATTTATTTTCGTTTTGATTTTGTGAAATTGCTGCATAATGACGAGTTTGAAAGTGTTTTCAAGAACCATTATCATGTTTGCCGTATGTGTTTTTATTTCTTGCATTTATAATCCATACTTAGTTGTTATATTTTATTTTTTAGGTTTGATGTTTTTACAACCATGATATTCATATATTTTTATTAGTACTTCCAACCTTACCTATTTCTGCCGCCAAGCAGTAATGTACGCTTTACTGCGTTCCGGTTTTGAAGCTCTGGTGAAATTACAGGCACTTGAGTATTGCCAACTTATGCCTCAGAGTGACGGGCACAGTGGCAGTGTCGCTCAGATCAGGCACTGCAACTGTTATGGACAGGCGTGTAGCTTACCATCAGGTGCACGACTTGTTCATCCCGTCACTTGACATTATAAAAAAAAGTACAAATTCATCAACTTCAAATGTGTTTGGCAGCTGACACGGAACTAGCATACTGTGCTAGTAAGTTACTTAAAAAAAACAAATTGATGTTACGTTTTATACATTTGCTTACATTTATAAGATCATTGCATTTACTTAATTAAATTGTTGGTACTTTATAGGTAATATATATGCCTATAATAAGTTTACTATTGCTTAATATTGGTGTTATTAACATTAAAACTTTATTTCAGGTGACATTGCCGACCGTTTTCTGCTCGTTACCTGATGACGATTTGCATAGTGGGATACTTTCGGTACCTTGTAACTTCACTACGACGGTATGGATTTAAAAATGTTCCTAGACATAACATTGCTTTTAAACTCTTATTGGGTGTGTGACAATGATCTTATGTACTATATAAGATCATTGCCCTGTGACAATATGCTAGGTAATATAGGTCAAATAAATTTGATTACTTAACTAGCATATCAAAAGCTTTTAATATACTTTTTTTAGAAGCAGCTCCTGTCAAACAATAAAGGTCCAATAAAGCTTTTGTTACCGTGGTCAAAATGTAATGCACTGGCAGATGTGGCTGCTAATCTTCTGGATTAAATTATTTAAAAAAAATGAACACAAAGAAAAATTCATTCGATCCGGCTGGATTCAAACCAGCGCCTTCACCGTAACGTGGCTGACGCTCTCCCAACTGAGCTACGCAACGAACCAGCAAGACTGACGAATTTCTCTATGTGCTACTTGCAAATCTATGTTTTTTGTTTTTAACGGCTTGTTTGCCGTAGCGCCATCTGTGAGAAATGTATGAAAGTTTTTCGTCTCTAAGACAGGTACCTTTACAGCTACCAGAGGTTAACCAGAGATGTCGCTTTAATAATTGTAATATTAAGTTTATTGAACATTTTTTGTGAAACTAGTTCGTTATAATGATTAATACAAAGATCGAACTTCTTCTGGATTCCTTTTAATCTAGACGTCGTATTTCGGACACAAGCCCTGCAAACCATTAATGGTGTAACAATTATATTTAGCGATGTAATTATTCCAGAACAATACAGCAGGTAACTTATTATTAAAAGTCGTCTAACTGTTGTGCAGTTTGTTGGCGACATGTGCACTCTTACCTAATTCTACCCACTTTACTATATATAACATTACTTACTGTACTTACTAAATAAAATATAAAAATTACTTTAAGAGATACCTTTAACCTGCATGCTACTACAAATGTGCAGTAGCATGCAGTGCATATTTACTTAATTTTGAGTAATTCCTTAGCCAATCAATGTCGTTATATATTTTTGGAACTAAACAACGTGTACATCTTTTTCCATAATAATTATTAGCTTTAACTTCACTAGTTCACCTTGTCTTACTCTTTTTGTGATGTATTCTTAACCTAAATTTATAATTAACACTATAGTAATTTTCCAACACTCAAATATCTGCTCTTGATTTTTATTTGCATGACCTTACAGTGACTAAATAAGTCGTTGTATTTTGTGCCGTTGCATTTTTGTTTAACTTTTTTACATACTAAATGTTTTATCAGCTTAATTTGTAACTTTCTGATTTTGTTTAGATACTAGCAAAGGTCCGACTAGGTATATACATTCAATCCGTACCTGATAAGTAAATCTGCCAGCGCATAATACACCATATACAATTTTTTTTATTTCTAATATATAATTTAAATGAAAAATTCCAAATTCCAATGTAAATAGATTATAAAATATTTTCAGAGTCGTATTTGCCTAAATTGCCATACCCGCGTGGTCTGCAAATCAATCGGTGGTCTAGTGAAGCCATGTCGCAGGTTAGATAAACCTTATTGCGTCGATGGGAGATGTACTGCTCGTCCAAGCATTAATTGTGCCGCATACGGAATAATGGGAGCAAATAATACAGTGACAATCGCCCCGGAAGATACTGTGAACATGGAAAATACTACAGAAGGGAATTCGACAACGACAAGTAACATAGAGAACACTACAACTGAAGGAGACTCAAGAGAAGGAAGCACAAGTCAAGGAAGTACAACTGAAGGAGGTACAACCGATGATACATCTGATGAAAGTCCAAGTGATGGAACTTCGAAAGGAACGACAGACGAGAATTCGACCACGGAAAGTATCTCAGATGACACCACTGACAAGGATGAGTCGGAATTGATTGCGGAGGGCAATAATAATGACGAATAAACTGAGAACGTTAATGCACACAGTTTGTAAAGCACATTGTTTTCGTATTTTGCAAAATGATAATTCGATTTTCCTATGAATCTAGAAATAAAAAATATTATAACAGCAGTCTTGAAATGTTATTTGATGATTACAAGATTAGATTTGATCATTAGAAAATTGCAAGTCACGGATGGTGTGATGATGGTATCAAGTCTGCCTTGGCTACCTTTTTGTTCATTTAAAACTATTTAACATTTACAAGTGACCTAAAGGGCAAAAGTTATTTCTTGCCAGTTGTTGAGTACTTTTAAGTCCTAAATCAAAATCTTAAAAGCTTAACTTAAAATCTCGATTTTTTTTTATTATTTCATCATCATTGCCTTCGTGACCGAACGGTTACCACGCAGGGACCTCGAGTCTCGGGTTCGATTACCGAACTGGGAGAAATATTTGTATGGTCTACATTTATTTATCTCGTGAGTTTGGGCGCGTTATGCGTGTGTGCGTTATCTTAGGACACCTCGTGCAAATCTGCCTTGGCTACCTAAAAAGGTTTAACAAAAGTTAATTTGAAACTATTCAATATTTATAGCTAACCTGAAGCGAAAACGTTCTTTCTTGCCAGTTTAGCTCAAAACCTTGTTTTTTTTATTATTTCAACATCAGTAATTCATTATACATCTCGTTGCTGGTCACATATTACATCTAAGGAGAGGACTTAGGTTATAGTTCTTCTTCAACTTTATACGTTGTCTAAAGGTTGTCAACAGTGTTGTCATCCGTCATCTACATAAAGGTTTCATTACAATGTTACACTACACCGTTAAGAGTAGATATTTCCTGAGCTCGAATTAATTTTTTTCCTGTACGCATTTTGTTACGGTCGAGCGACAGGGACACTGGCGTTATATCAGAATTTATTGCAAACGAAAGTAAAGTAATTTGAAAAATGTATATCATATTTTGTACTTGTTCTATTTAGTTCAGTTGATATAAAAAAAATCATTGGTATATGTAAAGTACCTATTGTATACAACGGTTTTCTTATAAAAATTCGAAGTAAGTTTGTGTTTTTTTCTATCGTGAAAATTTGTAGGAGACGTGTTTTCACATCATATAGGTAGTAATCAGTGTATATCCTAAATTGCACTATATATTTTTTCCAACGTGATTGACTCAACACTTTCACTGTTATGCGGATTCAACTAAAGCTATTTGAGGTTGTACGGACTCTTAACGAAAGGTATTGCTAAGAAATATTCGCAAATTAAACTTAGAAAGAAGCAACCGCCACTTCGATATCACCCTCTATAGCAATACGTAAGCAGTATTCTTAACATCACAAATGCCTTGCGGGACATAAGACCTTAAGTCTCTTGTGATTGTATTCACTCACAATCCCATCAATCTAGTTCTGCTTTGTGGTTGAAATAGACAGTGTGGTGGAAGGAAGATTCTAGACAACGTTACCTACACATCAACTAAATCGAAGCTATCGTTTATATTTTACAAAGACCAAACCGAACTGTAAAGGCTCTAGGTCACGTCCGGAGCCAAATGAAATGTTCCGGATAATATATTGAGCAGGGCCAAGCTTTCAGATATTATTTTCGTCCGCAAGGGTTCAGATCAATCTCTTAGAGGTCTTAGACATGTTTTGGCTAAATTAAATGGTCTTTTGAGTAGTACTCAGCGTTGGTGAATCTATCGATACATGCAGCTTTGTTTACATGTCGGCGCACGCAACTACACTGTTTTCTCGGTTCCATTTTCTTCGCATCTCTCTCTTTCGCTTCAATCATATACGGTGAAATTTAATAAGTCAAGTCAGAATGTAAAATACTTCTTTTCACGTTTATTTTAATAAGTACTAAGTACTCTATGAATATCATATGAGAGCTTAAAGATTCATTTAATGAAACAATGATAATTTGTAAATACATTCTCTTTCTTGCTTCCTCTTCCTGTCCTTATCCCCCGCTAGGTGGGGTCGGCACAACATGTATTTTTCTTCCACTCTCCCTTATCAGCCGTCATTTTTATACTCACACCTTTCTTATCCATGTCATCTTTCATACAATCCATCCATCTTTTCTTTGGCCTTCCGTTCCCCTTACATACCTCCACATTCATACCCAGCCCTCTTCTCGTCACATGACATGTCCATACCAAGCTAACCTATTACTCCTCATCTTTTCCGTCACAGGCGCCATCTTCAAACTTCCCCTGATGTACTCATTCCTTATTTCTTTATCCATCCAGCACTTCCTTCACTCTTGAATACATGTTGTAAACACATTCTCCTTTATTTGATGTAAAATGAGTTGTTGTTGTTACTATATACTTATATATGTGGCAAAATAAATATAAGATAGAAAAAAATGGTACGTGATAATATGAATCCTAAAAATAAAACTTTGTTAATTGTAAACCATAAGCAAATTGACACAGATTATGTTGAATAGAATAGAATATGTTATGCGAAATCTAGATAAAAGTCTGAAATTTGAGAATTTTCACCCACTATAAACAAGACAAATATGAGTGAAAGAGAAAACCGTATTTCCATTCGTCCCGTTTGGGATGCTCGATTGGAAGTAACCTGTTGTTGGCGTTTATCGACCGGCGGCTGGGGCGCTGGGGCGCGGCAGTCCGGGTTGAGCAGTGTCCGACATCGCTCGTGTCAGTGTCTTTGTGTCAGTGTCTTGTGTCTTGTGCCATGAAGCTGCCGGCTCGGCCGCCGCACTCAGATTAAAACACCAGGTATTTTCACCCCTCCTTTGTTATGACTATTCATTTGTTGATTTGAATTTTTTGTTGGAATTCTCTGTCATGATTTTAATGCGCGTCGTGTATTTTCCTCTCTACGTTTAACGTACACTTGAGAGAATTTCTTTTAAGAATGTGATTTATTTTATAATTATTTCTACTTACTTTTAATTTAATCCTAGAACGAGTCTATATATTTCCAAAAAATATGTGTTGTTATTTCTTGTTGTATGTATTTGAATGTTGGTACGCTATATTTCTAAAAATAAACGAACGATGTTATCGTTTTATGAATAAAATAAAACGGCGTAAAGAAAAATAAAGAATAAAAATAAATAAGAAAAAAATAAAAATATACTACTACCCTCAAATGGTCCGACGTCGTATCGTGATATAAAATGCGGCGTAATCGGGTAAACGTACACGGAGCACTCGCGGAGTTTTCCACCGGCGCGGATCTTATAGCTTTCTTTTATTGAATCGAAAGCTTTCACTTTGTTTTTCTGCGGTTGAAAAACTAGCACTACCTTGTAAGGTGTCTGTATGTTCACTTAATACTTATTCGTTGCCTCCTTATCACAAAACTATACGTATATACGTATGTTTAAAATCTTGCTAAGGTGTGACACTAATGTGTCATCTGGACGCAATCTTGCAATTGCGAAACAAAATGCATAAGTATCATGAGTTCTCAATTGCACATTATAATGCAAACAAAGACTCGTGAATTACATGCAAAATGCAAACAATTAAAATAAAACAAATGCAAACAAATAGTTAGTTGAAATATTTCTAAATGTTATGTGAGTTATGTACGGATTTCATTTGTGTACTTTTTGTTTGTTAACGACTGCGCGCATATTGTATAAAAACATATTGTTAAGTCTTACTGACGAGCATATGTCGTATGAATGGACATTGGTATTTGTAATATTAAAGCCGAAAGAAAAGAAAGAAAGGCATTTATAAACATTGATCCCCTTTGAGACCACAGACGTCTGACAACACGTCAGAGGTAAAATATTTCTATACACGATTTTAAAATCAAATATGACTTATCTGGCCGTAGTGAGACCTAGCCTATTTCTGCCGCCAAGCAGTAATGTAAGCATTACTGTTTTCGGGTTTGGAAGGGTAAGGGTGCTGGTGAAATTACAGGCACATGGGGGTTGTCAACTTATGTCTCAGGGTGTCGGGCGCGGTGGCAGTGCCCCTCAGATCTCTGCCATTTAAAGCACAGAGTGACACAGCAAATGTTTAGCTTACCATCAGACGCACGACTTGTTCGTCCCGTCATTTAATATTACAAAAAGTAACCTTTAAGGATGTCACAACAATTTCTTGTTTCGCAACAATGTCGTAACGTTGTGTAACACTCTCGTGTACCATCTCATGGGGAACGCGTATTATAACAAGAACAAAGAACGATATCATACAAGCTGTGCTTTAAAACCTTATACAGTGTTAGGTAGTTCATTTCAAACCTAGGGACTGTGGTAAGATATAACTGGTAACAGTTATAGTGTCCAATAAGGACAACCCTAATCTTTAGAATGCTATATTATTATCACTAATTTCAGGTTCCTTATCACGGTATGACTTCTTTTTATTTTCCCGATATTTCGGAACGGTTGCACGCCCCATGGTCACGGGTTGACTGAAATTAAAGAAATCTGAAATTAGTGATAATCATTTATTGAATAACCACGAAAGCCTGAAAGATCTTTAGAATGCTGTTGCGGCTGCCCCCGTTCTGTAGTGCGTTTGACGCAGTTGTACGGAAACGCATTTCGTTGACCATGAGCAGTATGCGTGGCAGCGGTAACAGCCTTCTGAACACCATATCGGAGGATGTGGCGTGCCCGATATTATGCCATTGGACCAGAATTCATGTCACCAAGAAGGGCTGGTCACAAGAATCCTAATTCCGCGTACCTATTGTTATTTTTTAATATTTATTTTTAAGTAAGTATTTATATTTTAATATTTTATTAAGTGCAATTTATTAACATAGTCCTAAATTTTTAATTGTTACTAACAAAGTGGATCAATGATCTTAAATAAATTATTATTGTTGTATTTGTTTGTTAGTAAATCTATATCAAATGTTGTTCTTAGTAACAAAATAATAAGTAACACTTATTATTAATGTTACTAGGTAAAAAATTACACATATTAAATACTGTTGCAAGTAGAGAATGCATCATTGATAATCAAGCCTGACCGCTAATTAATGCAGGATGGGGTCGTGGCTATCTCGTAATGGTACCACGGTTGCGTGTTGTCGCAATAAAAGCAGTGCACGCGTGCTACTACGAACATACCTTAATATATATAAAAAAAATTATCTACACAAAGATGGAACAGAACAAAGAAAAAATCTTTCGATCCGAATGGACTCGAAGGACGAGTCTGTTGTGTTGCCGGGGCCACCGCTCTGGACAGCAACGGCATTCACCGCAAAATTAAATATCAGATAATGATAATACAGGCACAGATAATATAATACTATACTAATATAGATACCCAGTCTCATACAAAGAAATGTCGCACTCGTAACTTCGCTTACTCGGGCGTTTATTTTGATTCATGACGATGATCAATAAATGTTACCAAGTAAACCCGCGATGCGATAGTAATAATATTCGAAATGGCCAACATATGGCAGCAATTACATTTTTGTGAAGATTTATTGGTCTTGTTTAGGCGTTGATTATACTATATACAATACCATAAGTATAATAAAATCGCAAAGAAGCTAAGTCTTTATTTTTGAAGTAAAAATTTGTTCTAAAACCATTGACTTACAATTATATGGATGTCGGGTCCGCGCTAAAAAGTGTCCGAACTTATAGGGCGTTAAAATCGTATACCGAGCGTCATTCACGCTTTAGTCTTCGTTTGTTCGACTGACAGCGAAGCAAGCAAAATTAGACAGTACTGCGATGACATTACAATTTAAATTCAACGTTTTAGCTTTTTCATATTCCTTTACATGTCACTACGTTTAAATAGGTTGACTTGGGACTTATTTTTGTGGTTTTTGTATTTGACCCGTCATCCATTTATTTGTAAGTCAATGGCTAAAACGTTACTTATTTCCGGGAATAAATTCAAAGAAATGCCATCTATACAATTTATTGCAAACTAACAAATACGTATACTATACCTTCGATTGCTATCTTTTCAACGACGGTTTACGTTTTCACCAATTATCAAAATGTATTGTAAATGAATTTTTATTAAACATTCCTAAAATTTTGTTACATTTTTTGTCTACCCAAATGTCTATCATGGTTTTAAATATGTACTGAAGTTAATTTATATGAATATGATACCCCATGGTACAGGAAACGCCGTTTCGCTATATGAATCTCAAAAAACCAACTGCGGGCTGTAGTTGCCGCCCACTGCTTCTCCATAAAGAAGTATCAACGTGCTAACAAAATTCAATATTTACATTGAACAATTAATATAACAATATTGAATCAATACAAGGACTACGGCACAAAGAATAGTAGGTGGTGACTTTTTGTGTACGATACTATTTAAATACGGGGTATCTATGAACGGGTTAACCAACTCAGCTACAGGCCCAATCAGCAGACCTCACGTTTTTTTTGCTACGAGTTTTACGAAAATTTGGTTCGAGTCCAGTAGAGTGGAAGGAAAACTTCTTTGGTTTTTTTATAATAGCAAGTGACGTGACGACCAAGTCGTGCGCCTGGTGGTAAGCGACACGTCCATCCACAACAGCGTCACATCTTTCTACATTAGTTTTGATTATAGTGCTGCCGTTCACTAACTAAAACGCGACTAGGAGACAAATGGTCATATAACCGTTTTAAATGGCAAAAAATAGATTCTCTTTTGAAAACAGTTAAAATTAATTAACGTGTTCGGAACTTTTCCTAACCAAGTTCTCCAACTCCAAGTCCGAGTCTACCAGAGATGCCTGTGAAGGCGTATCACTGGCGGAGGGCTTGGTCCGGACGCCTGGTGCACCTTGGTCTTGCCATCGAGTACGTAGTCTCTCCCGAGTACCCCATCTCTCGGCTCGGTAGATAGGCCCATCCATAGCAGTTGTAGTGCCACTCAGAGTTTTAAATCTCATTGCCACTGGGCCATCACCCTGAGACATAAGTTGACAAGGCCCTTTCCGTCTGTAATTACACCAGTACCGTTACCCTTCTAAGCCAGAACGCAGTAATGTTCACATTACTGCTTGGCGACAGAAATAGGCAAGGGGCAGTCTTATTCTAATTTCTATCCAATTTGTACATTACGCAATCAACAGCAAATTAATTATTCTATGGTTAATATCCACACACAAGAAATTTCATGTCTTTTTATTATTTTTAAATAGTCTTGTTTACTACTTGTGCAATGAATGTGTGTGGAATAAATGGTTTTATGAAACGCTTCTATTACGTGTCGTGCAATGTAAATCAAACCTAAAGGCGACGTGTGTCAGCTTACATAGGAAATTTATGACCAACGCTGTAGCCGTGTATTGTGTTATAGTTATTTTACATATGATTATAACAAAAGTAATATTGCAATAAAAACCGTGGTAGCTTAATGGTTTGACCTGCCGACTCTAAAACAGAGGGTCGAAAGTTCGAATCTGGATTTGAACCTCTGAATTTTCGGAATTTATGTGCGAAACTTAATTTGAGACCATGAGCTTTTCGGTGAAGGACAACGTCGCGATGAAACTTGCACTAATCTACAAAGCTATTTAATGACAAGTACAGCCCAAGCCCTCTCATTGTGAGAGGAGGGCCCAGCAGTGGGCCTATAAATAGGCTAACTATTTAATATTATTATTACAATAAAAGTAAATCGTCAAGCAGGTGTAAAAGTTTTACTTTTACGACCAATGCCAAAGTAACAATATAGTCATTGTGTTCAACCGATTCACCCTGGCTACAGGTTCCTGTCAATACTGATTTAATCAAAAGTTTTATAGCGTGCTCGCGATTGCCATCACA